TAGTTAAAATGGAGAACAGAGGAGCCACGTACATGGTCTTGACATCCCTGGAGGAAAATTCAGGAGGTGCCTTTAACTAAAAGATAATGAATACCCCATCCTCTGGTTGCTGTCCTCTGAAGATGCCGGCCACAGAGACTGGCGAAACGTCAGGAAGAACAACCTTCAGAACACGGCCAAAGAGCCCGAAAAACCCACAACAACCATTAAATCCCGTCCGTGAAAGTCTTCGCGAATACAGTGGTGCCTCGCACAGCGAGGTTAATCCATTCCGGATTAACCCTCACTGTGTGAAAGCATCGTTGAACGGAACGTAAAAACCCACTGGAACGCATTAAACATGGTTTAATGCGTTCGAATTGGGCCGAATACTCACTGTTCAGCGATGCTTCAGGATGGCCGGCAGCCATTTTCACGCTCTCCCCTCGCTTTATGAGGGCGCGAAAACGCTGCGCGTGGCCATTTTGGGGCTTCCGGTGGCTATTTTGTAGCCGCCGAACAGCTGATCGGCGGGTCGCAAAGCGAAGGTCAGTAAGCGAACCGCTTATCAACCTTCGCTCTGCGATTTTCGCCCTATGCAGGCACCGTTTTGCGATTGCATTTGCGATCGCAAAACCGGCCCCGTAGAGCGAATTCATCGCTCTACGAGGCGCCCGTTGTGCGAGGCACCACTGTATATTAATCAGTAGTCGTTTGGCAGTAAGTTATTAACCAGCTGCAGCTTTGTTCTCCCAAAGAGAAAGTTTGACATAACCCTTTGTGGGTTGCAGTCCATCTCATTAGATATAATTAATGGACAACAATCCCCAAAGGTTATGCTAAATAGAACTTGTTTGGCTTTTAAGCACTGCAAAGCTCTTGTTTTCACTACATACAGTGTTTGTTCCTTTTCTATTTGGGCTGATTGGTGCTGCATGAGTGTAGTAACACTTACTGGGCCTTCTGTCCACAGTTTTACCTAACATCCCCCTTCTCTTTAAGAAATAAGCACCTTTTAAAGACATTGCTTTAAAAGCTTAAGAAATGATTTAAAAATGATTATCTGTGTTGAATAAAAAAACAACCCAAAAATCTAGATTACCACCATAATTGAAAGCTTCTGAGCTCAGTACTTTTCAGCAGAGGCTCATCTCACTGCTAACCTACATGGAAATCATATGTCCTTCATAAAAGCTCTCAAAAATAGTGAGAAAACTCTTGAAATAATTTTCTGTGCTAATTTTTTATTTGCTAATTACCACTAACAATGAAAATCTCCCATCCAGAAGCTATTGTTACTTGAATTCCCCAAAGCAATAGAAAACCTGTCACCTACCCCTGAGATAAATCCTTGGCTCAGTAGTTCAATATCATCACCAAAACCATCTTTAATATTCCTTCAGACATGGCATTTCTCATATTATATGCCATTGATAAGCCATTTACCAAACCATATCAACATTTAGAATGTTCCTGCCCCAAATTTTCTTAAGACTTCATGGTTGTTTAAAAAAAGCTTCAATCCCCACCCTCACCCGAATATCAAGTAAGAACTTTGTTATCTTGACTTGCAGTGCAACCAGAACACTTAAAGAATATTTTTTCTAATTTTGATTGTAATTGAATTTTATGTATCATGTGTTTCTGTTTAAGGTCGACAAGAACATACAATGGAGTGGTATGGATTGATTTCTAGTTATTTTATTGCCTAATTTGCTTCTAGGCCTTTCTTTTTAGGCAGGCTTTTCCATAATGACTGGTTCTCACCTTTCTTTTTAGGCAGGCTTTTCCATAATTGAATAAATAAATAATGACTGGTTCTCTGCGAGGGGTTTTAAATGGACTGTTGTGCTCTGTTGTTTTAAATGTATTTTAATATTGATCTTAATTACCATTTTAATATAGTATTTGTTTAATTCTTTTTAAATATTTATATACTTACTGTTTTAACTTTTAAATATTGTTTTAGTGATGCAAGCTGCCTTGGTTCCCTTTGGAGAGAAAGGTGGTATAAAAATATTTTTAAAAATTAAATAATAAATAGAGATTTTAATGGTTGCATTCTTCAATTTTTTCTTAGTGATATTATCTATTTAAATATCAATATCAAATATCAATTCGAATGCTATTCTCAGTGGAAAAGGAGAATGGAACTATAAAAATAAAACAAGATTTGGATTGGCAAGAACACCCTGGTACAAACAAATACTAGAGAAAAATAATGTAGCAAGTCACACTGAGGTTTCTAGAAAAGAACAGATTTATTTTCTCACAATTTATAAAAATACAAGTACAAAAGACAAATCTAACAAGTCTGCAAAAATATATTTGCTGAGACTGAATATTACAAAACTAGAGCATAAGTCATTTTATACCTAGTCACACTGTCAGTGGTACTAATGAAGGCAGGAGATTGTTTTGTTGGAGTGATGGAATATGAGACAGAGGATTATTCCCAGAAAGAAAACTGCAATATTTCTATTTCCGAAGAGTTCTCAGCCAAATCTATTTGGCATTTCAGATTGCTCTCCAGTAAGGCTGCAGCCAAATCCAAAGAGAGTGCAATTTAAGATATGAAAGAAGGATAGATGTACAGAGCTTGGAAACTGAGATGCAAAACATTTTCACTGATGAGTAATCTCAAGTGTGTTGCCCTTAGAAAAGGAATTAAGCCATCTGACTGAGTAAAATTTAGAACCAAACTATACGAAAAGGGAAACAAAATATTCCTGCAGATTTCTGGGCTATCCCAAGGAGGCTGACCTCTGCTGCAGATGATCTAGAAGCAGCCGTCAACTGTGGACTTGAGCAAACTCCTTTCGTAGCCAAAGAGAGTCCTGGTAGAAACGGGGATCTCCCAACTGTACAGCTGTCCTCTTATAGAAATAGTAGTAAAGCACAGCCACTGCAATCAACGAGAAGCAAATGAAAGCCATTAAAGTTCTAATCTCTGTCTACTTTATTATTTCCACAGTGTTCAGAAAAATCATGGAATAATGGAATAATTGATGTCATCATTTTTCCTAGAGGAAGAAGTCCACCAGGTTCAGGAAAGGTACAAGCACATTCCACAAACGAAACAAAAACATGCCAAACATTCAACTCTCAGAAACAAAAGTAGGGCTAGGAAGAACAACATTCAGAACATGGCCAAAGAGCCCGAAAAACCCACAACAACCTTATGCTTCAAACTTGAAAGAGCTGCTCCTGCACTAGATGATCCAATGGCTTGGTGTAAAGCAACTTTGGATACTCCTTTTCTCTCATATACTTTCTGTGGAGAACATTCACATAAGCTTTATACCTCTGCCTAAGAGTTGTAGTATTGAAGAGGTGATAAACCTTATACTTACCCAGTCTCTGGAAAACAAAGAGGGTCTGCAACCCATCAGTCCACACAAAGTAATTGGAATTTTTCCAGCGAAGATTCTGCAGAAAAGAAATTACGTAATGTTAAACACTAGAAAATGAGTATTTCTCCTGCAACACTAAGCCATAGTTTCTGGACCTTTTTAAAACACCTCATACTTTTACCAGACTTTTTCGGATACTAGGCTTCCAGTTCTTTACTCTTAAAATTTATTCCTATGGTTGGGAAGCAGCTACATCTATAACTTCTCCTGAAATTAGTTATGCTTTCTATCCTGAATTGTCCTAGAAAAAACAAATTGAACAATCATGTACAAACTTAGGGATGCTTAATTCCCAACTACTAAAAGGGTAATCACTCACAATTGTATGTTGTGAGGACATACAACTCCCCTACACACTGGCTATGCTTGCTACAGCTGACAAGAATGGCAGTCCAATAGTATCAGGAAAGTCACACATTTGCCACCATAGTATATGCGGCCAAGTGCTCCTTATACATGACTAAATCTTTGAGGTTTGAAGGAAGCAAAAATGGCAGCAAGTTCCTAAACTCATCAGTAACTATGTTTAGGACCGTGCTGGAAGTCTGCAGATTTTGGCCTGAATCCAATTGTTAATCCTAACCATAGGCAAATCAATGGGATTTCCATAACTGTTAATTCATCATTCAGCAATACATTCCGTGGGGCTAGCAGACAAAACAAGTGGGTACATCATAAGAAGGCAGGATTCTCTGGACAAAACAATGATGTTCGGAAAGATGGAAGCCAACAAGAAAAGAGGAAGACTAGCTATAAGATGGACTGACTCCCTAAAGGAAGCCATAGACTTGAGTATGCAGGAGGTGATTAGGGCTGCCGAGGACAGGACATCTTGCAAATCACTCATTCATAGAGTTGTCATGAGTCGGAAGTGACTTGATCGCATGTAACTACTACAACAAATTGGACTTTGGCTTTTACACTGTGATTGTATCGCATTTTCCAATACTACCACAATTGTTTTCATGTAACTTGTTTATTTATGTTACACGAAAACATACTTCACCAGTTGTCCCTTCCAATTTAGACCTTACTCAGCATGCTGATACTCTGTTCCTCTGTTTTTTGTTTTTGTTTTAAATGAGGAATGTGGAGCCTAAAAGAGAAGGGATATTCCACATCACACATTCTCAAATGTCAACATTCTGGCATTCCTGAAGCCATGCAGTATATTCCTGACCTGCCTAGAGAACACTTCAGGCCAGTCACTCTTCAGAATCTAATAATCTGCTGATTATTATCCATAGCAGCATGAATTCCTACAGAAGCACAAACCTGAAAGATTTTCTGAAGCAACTGTATAGGCTGTGCCAACAAACAGGGACTGCAGTAGCCCAGTGACAGCTATGCTCAACCCAAAGAACTGTTTCCACCACCCATGCTCCTGTCTAGTTTTATTTTAGTCTCTACATGTCAAATCAAAACCTTTCCTTTTGCAATTGGAAAAACGTATATTTTTATATATACTGGCAGACAAAATGAACAACTCCATAAGGTATTAACATTTGTCATAACATTTTATAGGTCCAATGGTTGTTGTGGGTTTTTCGGGCTCTTTGGCCGTGTTCTGAAGGTCCCTTTCCTTAAGTTTCCTTAAGTACCTTAGCCTACAAAGCCAGGTGAATTAAACTTGAGTTTCTTGTTCTTTTCTTTCAAAAGAAGCTTATTCTATCTGAAAATTCCTAAAATTCATTTTCAGTATGAAAAGACTTCTCCGAATCTCTTCCAAGACTTAAGTATCCAGACACCACATGGGATGGATGTGAGCTCTAGGGAGCAGCTCAGGGAGCACAGAAAGGTTAAGCGGATCAGCAGCTTTATAAAGAACACTCAGACCTATTCTAGCTCCCAACAACAGATTCCAGAAAATCCTCTTTAAATCTTCCTGCCTGACAAAGTGTAGGAAAGCCCAAACACTATTCCAAGCTAGAGTAAAGAAGTTGAATGAATCAAAGATGTGACACTGAATACTCAAATATGAAATATTGGGCCTCCTGGAGTCTGACCTCTGATAAGCCATTTACCAAATATGTCACAGAATCATGGACTTGGAAAAGATCAAAAAAGCCATCAAGTCCAACTCTCTTCTCAATGGAGGAATCCAAGTTAAAGTATATTTGACAGATAGTTGTCTAACTTTCTCTTGAATGCCTCCCATGCTGGAGTATTCACCATCTTCTGAGGTAATTGATACCATTGTTGTAGTTCTTGAATAGGAAGTTTTTCTGCCACTTGAACCTATGACTCCTCTGATCATCCTCGTTGTCCTTCTCTGAACTTCTAGTTTGTCTGCATCCTCCTCAAAGTGTGGTGTCCAGAACTCACTTAGTATTCAAAGTGAGAACTAACCAGTGCCAAACACAGGGTAACTAGTACTTCATGGGATTTGGAAACTATACTTCTGTTTGTGAAGCCTAAAATAGAATTTGTATTTTTTGCAGCCGCATCACACTTTTGGCTCATATTCTGCTTGTGATCTATAACAGTTCAAGATCCTTCTCACTCGTAGTACTACTGAGTCAAGTATTCCTCATCTTGTAATTATGCATTTGGTTTCCCCACCTAGGTCTAGAACTTTGCACTTATCCCTGTTAAATGTTATTGTGTTGTTTTCAGTCCAATACTTAAGACTATGGAGATCTTTTTGAATTTTGTTTCTGTATACCAGAGTATTAGCTACTCCATCCCATTTCATGTTACAGGTATATGCAAATCTGATAAGCGTTCTCAACATCCCCTCAGACATGCTATTAATAAAAATGTTGAAGAACACTGGGCACAAGACTGAGCCTTGTGGTACCCCACCTGTTACCTCTTCCCAGTTGAGAATGGGCCATTGATAAGCATGCTCTGAGTATGATTCTAAGACCAACTGTGTATCTGATAGTTTTTTTATCCAGTCCACACCTAGTTAGCCTGAATTGGAATATCATGAGGCATTTTATAAAAAGCTTTGCTAAAGTCAAAATATATTATGTCTACAGTATTTCCTCCATCAACCAAGGAGGTTACCCAATAAAAAATGAATTAAGAATAGTCTGTCAGGATGTGTTCTTGATGAATTCTGTGTTGTTTTCTAGTTATCAATGCACTGCTTTCAGGTTGCTTACAGACTGACAGACTGCTCCAGAATTTTCCCTGGTACTGATGTCAGACTGATTGTTCTGCCTTTCCCAAATTCCTCCTTCTGAATATAAGGACTTTAGTCCTCCTCTGTCTGGCATTTCACCCATCCTCTGTGATTTCACTAAATTAAAAGTGCTTCTGGCAGTTCTTCAGCAAGTTCCTTTAACACTGTTTGATGCAGTTCACTAAGCCCTGGAGATCTGGTATGCTATTTGGTGTTATCCTTGCAACCAAACTGCATACCTCAAGTAACCCTATTTTGCTCGCCTGCTTAAGAAAACAACAAAAACAAAACAAAACAATTATCCTCCTTGCCCCCTCCTCTCCTCCTTCTGGGAGGAAGTTTTCAATTTCCCCATTATTGTCTTCTATGTAGTATAGCACATCAGCACTGTCAAAAACAACTTTTGCTTCCTTCATCTGACATTCTACAGACTTAATTTTCCAATATTGGGAAGCAGCTAAGCTGTCTTCATAAACCACTTAATGATATTGGGAAATAGACAGCCACAAGCTCCACTTTGGTTCAATCCCAGTGATCAAATGTCCTAGAAACTAACCAAATGGAACAATTCTACCCACAAGAAACATACCCTTTAATTTTCAGTCCTGCTGGTCGGGGTTCCACCTCTCATGCATGTGGCTTTGCCCCTATGTGTGCATGTGACTCCACCCCTCTGCATGCTGGATTCTGTTGTGACTGGAACCTAACACAATCACTGTGTGGAGGAGGAAGACAGCTATGCACAGGGAGGCAGAGGCATGCACGCCCAGCTTAATGGGAACCTTGCCCACAACAAAAGAAAAGTAGCCCCTGACAAGGACCCAGAATGCTCTGGGAACAGGCTGGTTCACTATAGCAATTTTGTTGTCCGATCACATGCAAAAGAAGTCAACCAGTGCAACAAATGCCTGTCTGATCACACCTTAATCCATGCTGTTAGTTAGAATCAAGTCAATAACAACTAATCCTCTAGCAGCTTCTTCCATTTTTTGTAGGAGAAAATTATCAGCAACACAAGCCAGGAATTTCTTCAAAGGCCCATGTTCGGCATAATTTTCCTCCCAACAGGTATCACAATAATTGAAGTCTCCCATTACTACTATAATGTGTCTCTTGAAAGTCTTGCAATTTGTTTTTGAAAGGTTTCATCTGCATCTTCTGCTTGATTGGGTGGTCAGTAGTAGCTACCAGCTACCAGTTTCCTTTTATTTTTCACCCCAGTTATTTAATCCAGATGCTGTTGATGGGACAACCAAACTCATCCTCCTGTGTTTTGGTGTAGGAATATGTATTTTTGACATATAGTGTGACTCCACCTCCTTTTCTATTCTTTCTGTTCCTTTTGAACAAATTGTATTCTTCAATTTCTATATTTGAGTCATGAGAGTCACTCCACCAAGTTTCTGTATTCCAATCAAGTCATATTTATCCTCCTGAATTAAGATTTCAAGTTATTCTTATTTCTTTCCCATCCTCCTGGCTTTCATATATAGACACTGGAGAGCGAATGATTTGTATCCTGGTTTCCTATTGGGCTCCATTAGAGCTATTTACTGTGTTCCTCTTATTGTTCATCTATACTTACTTCCAAGTTTTCATCTCTCTCCCCCTCCCAATTCAGTTTAAACCCCTCCTGATTAAGTTCATTATACAGTTATTTACTTTACAACATTATATACTCTGTTCCGATCAATGCAGCTCATAGCTTTTTACCATAGAAAACAATTTAGTAGACATGGTCTTTTAAAAAAGGTGGGAAAGAAGGAAGCACATTCAGGTATTTGACACAGAGGTGAGCAAAGGAAAGAAACTGGATATTATTATGACACTTAAGACTCTCCTTTAAAGGACAGCCAAAAGTTTCCATAGCCTCCTCATAGGAGATGCACAGATTGCCTTGTGGTATCAGAGTAAGTAGCTGTGTTTGCTGCCCTAAATACATACCAGTATAAGCACGAACACATTTCTCTACTTTTACACCCACAGCTACAACTACAAATCAGTTTGGGTTAGCCATGTACAGTTAGTGAAATTGGGAAGTGATGAGAGGCTTCTCAGACATAAGGTATCAAGTAAGTATTGACCTTTACTTATCAGAAGTAAAAATGTCCATATCAGCAGAACGTAAGAGCCATAAAAGCAAGCCATACAAATAGACCCAGCTTATAGGAAAGGAGACACATCATCACATGTATACACAAGATACTTATCTGTAAAAACCACAAGAGGCAGATAGTGATAGGCAAGAAAGCACATTGAGCACTTAATATTTCCCATCATAAGAATCCTAATTAGACCTAAGCAGGTCATTTAAATAACAGCTTATGCAACCATTGCAAGGCCAAACAGGCATGCCTCTCAGACACAGATAACTGAAGACAGTAAAATGTCAGCAAATGTCAACAAAATGCACTATTGAAATCAAGTGAGAAACACATGCCAAGCTGTCTATCCATAGGAGAACAAAACAGAGGGTTGCTTGTTTGAAAAGACCCATAAAAAAGAAATGATAGCCCATGTACAGTATAAGAGGCTGAATATGTAATTCAACCAAAATGACTCTGCATGAAGGAAAAAGGATAGTTACAAAAAACTGAAGTATCAAAGTAGAGCAAACATGAGGGAAGCTTTAATCAGATATGATGGGAGGGAAAAACATGTCCTTGACCCAACTAATTTTATTAACAAGGAAGTCTAGCTTTATACTGAAAACGTTATTCAAGTTAATTTAGCACTGGGATATCAGAGGGAAGAATTAAGTAACATCAAGCCACAAGGATACACTTTATTATAAACATGGTGGTAGTTATGCAACTTTCCAGCTTAGCTTGTAGTCATTTGAGACATTCTTCACATACAGACCCCTAGTGCTAAAAGGATTCTTTGCCCCCCCCCCGCCTTGGGGCTAAAGCTATGCATACCACCACTCTCAGAACTCTCACAAATAATACCGCTGCAGCATCACCCACGTCCTTCTGAAACCAGAGACAGGCCACCAGTCTGATGACTTCTGTAGCGCTAACGTGAACAACCTATTCAATGGCCTAGTGCTGTGCAAAGAAAAGTAGCTCGGCTAATCTGCACAACAACTTCTTTATATCCAGCAGATCTCCACAAGGTTGCTTCTGTGCTTCAAGTTCTCCCTTCAGTCATAGGTTAGTGCAAAGAAACAAGGTGCTTTGCTAGTTTTCCAAAGAGAACATATATGTGGACTTAGGTTTAGAAATACAGTATACAGGCAGAGTCTATAATGAATTTTCTCTCTTCCAGAGACTGCATTTCTGTCCCGTGCAGCCGCTTCTTCAAAGCTTTCAATTTACTGGCTGTCACTTTTCAGCAAAATAAGCTTCTCAAAGCAACCTGTATTTATACTAACATGGCCATACTTGTCTTAGCAACCATAGATACAAAGTTAGGTTTAGTAGGTTTTTGGGCTGTCTGGCTGTGTTCTTGAGGCTTTTCTTCCTAATATTTCGCCAGTCTCTGTGGCTAGCATCTTCAGAGGGCAGGAGTCAGAACTCTGTGCTCTAGTGCCGTTTGTGGGATAGTCGAGTATTTATAGCTGTGGGATCAGCTTTTTGTCCTTTTCAGGAGACTGGATGATTACGGTGATAAGTGTGTTGTTTGTTGTGGGTCTATTTTTATGATAAGTGGGAGAGATAATCTGTCACTGTGATTGATGGGTGTCGTTAGCTGGTCTTTTGTGTACAGTGATCACTGGTCCTTGTGGCTGGGTAGAGTTCATTGACCTTTTGCAGACTGTGTTTTTCAGTGCTGGTAGCCAGGCTTTGTTGAATTTTAGATTTTCTTCTTTTTTGTTGAAGCTCTGCTGGTGTTTGTGGATTTCAATGGCTTCCACAAACACCTGCTGACCTTCAACAAAAAAGAAGAAAGTCTAAAACTCAGCACTGCTCCCAGCACTGAAAAACACAGCCTGCAAAAGGTCAACAAACTCTACCCAGCCACAAGGACTAGTGATCATTGCACACTGACACCCATCAATCACAGTGAAAGATCTCTCCCCCTTATCACAACAATACACCCACAACAAAAAACATGCTGATCACCATAATCACTGAATCTCCTGAAAAGGACAAAAAGCTGATCCCACAACTATAAATACTCAACTGTCCCACAAACAGCACCAGAGCACAGACACAGTTCTGACTCCTGCCCTCTGAAGATGCTGGCCACAGAGACTGGCGAAACGTTACGAAGAAAAACCTCAAGAACACGGCCAGACAGTCCGAAAAACCTACAACAACCATCGGATCCTGGCCGTAAAAGCCTTCAAGAATACATTAGGTTTATTTGTTCATTCCTATTCTTATTCAATATTGTGATCTCTTCCATCATACAGCTTTCTGATTTAATGAAGAAATTAAAACCACACCCTCCACATTAAAAACAACAACTACAACAGCACTGAATTCAGTGATAGGGATGTGGAAGTAATGCATGCAAGTGAAAATTTAAAATATTTTTCTTTGCTCACCAAGTTACCATGTTCTACTTTTGGGCTTCCTCAATATCCAGTATATATAGCATTCTTTAGGAGCCAAATATAATCTTCTCATGCCTTACCATGACCCAGACGTGGAAGGATATACTCAAAGCAAGATATGTTGCTGACAGGATGATGGTCCCTTTAAATTTGTGGAACAGAAGATTAACCAGCCCAGCCTGGAAGACGAAAGTATTGAAGAACATGAGGAAGATGATGATGACATTGAAGAGGATGGCGATATCCTGAATGCTACAGAAAGAAAGTAAAGCAGAGGTTTTAGGAGAAGTATCTGTGTTAGTCTATGCTGGCCTATTAGGCAAAAACAAAATAACAAATAACAAATAAAGAAGACAAAAACATTGTGCCACCTTAAAGACTAACTGCCGTATTTTAATGTCAACTTTTGTGGACAACTCCACTTTCTCAGAACATGAGGAATTAGCAATGTTGCTCAAATCTCTGTCCACCCTCCCTCTGTGATATTAATATTCTACCAGTCACAAAAAAATGGGTTATCTCAAATCTCTGGCTAGAAAAATACTATGAAAATATTAGTAATCACAAGCTACTTACATACAACTAGCTGATTTCTTTCCTGCTACTCCTTAATAGTTCTAATCTCAGCAACAAATAAGAAAAAATATTTATATAATGCCCACCAAGGTAACATTCACTAAAAAAAAGTAACATCGTGCCCTGCACATTATTTAACTCACCATGGTCTATCAACCCCTGCAAAGAAGGTACTGTATCCATGTTTATAAAGTCTTTAATTTATTTACTGAGAACACTACTTGATAGTTGTATCCTAAATGCTAGGGTCACCATAAGTTAGAATTGACTTGATGGCACATTATAATTATTATTATACTCACATGAACAGGACAAGCTGGATAACGGGGGCCATGCGCAGCAGCTCCGAGAAGGAATTAACAAAGAGATCATAGAACAGGAGTAAGAACTGCAAGGACAGCACCAGGCTATAGTTGCTGGTCTGGAGCATCTTCCTTGCCTGGAGTTATGGTGCCTCAATGTCTGCATCCCAGAAAACAATGCCAGCTCACACTCATACTACAAAGAGGCACAAGACTCTACCTCCAGAGATCACTCATAGCTCCTTCATATTGAGATCTCAAATCTGCAGAAAGCTTGGGGAGACAGTGGAAGATGAAAAATAAAAGGGAAAAATGTATGTTACTCTGTGAAAACAATGTAAGTCATGGCTAATTATTCACTGCCAAGTGCTTGACAAATCTGGGGGCATGTCAGGAAACTTCAGTGGGTCTAAAATGCAACAGCCAGATTGCTAACGGGGGTGGGTTATAGGGTTAACATAACTCCCCTGTCAGAGCAGCTCCACTGGCTGCCAACCAGTTTCCAGGCACAATTCAAAGTGCTAGTTTTAACCAATAAAGCCCTAAATAGCCTGGGTCCAAGCTATCTCAAAAGACCGTGTCTCCCATTATAAGCCAGCTCGGATGTTAAGATCATCAGGAGAGGCCTGTCTCAGTCCTGCCACCTTCACAAGCATGTCTGATGGGGACACAGGAGAACCTTTTCTGTTGCTGCTCCCAGACTCTAGAACTCTCTCCCACAGGAGGCCAGACTGGCCCCATCTTTGTTGTCCTTCAGCAAGCAGGCCAAAGCCTTTTCTCTTCAGGCAAGCTTTCTCTCAGTGAATGCCTACATGGCTGGTTACATGTGTGCCTTTTAGATGGATTGTTATACATTACTGCTCTGACTGGGTCTTTAGTACTTCTTGTGTTTACCATCTCTCAGAGAGGCATTTATTTGTTCCTTTTTAGTTTTTAGCATTTGCATACTTATTGTTTTAGACTTAATACTGTCTTTTATTTATACTCATTATTCTTAGCTTTAAATATTGTCTTTCAAGAAGGTAAGCTGCCTTGGGTCCTTTTTAATGAGAAAGGTAGGGCAAAAATATTTCAAATAAATAAATCCCAAGCACAGTCAAACAGTAACAGCAGAAATATTAATCCGATATTTAATACAATAATTGTAATAGTAAGAATAACACGGAGAGTTTCCTCTGTCCTTATGGAAACTGACCTGGATCTTCTATTAGCAATTATGATCGAGTATTTTTCTGAAACTTCAGAATACAGAACACGCTTCCCGCAAACGTTACAACTACTGCCCTTTATTTGCCTCCTGTTCTTACATCGGGAAAAAGAAACGGGAGGACTGTTATAAAGGGCGAAGGCTGGATAATCATCGATAGCTGCGCCACGATTTGAATGAAAGGCAAGCCCTGCCAGAAAATGACCGACCTTTTTGCTGCAGGGGCCCCCGTCCTTTCGCGCGGGTCTGCTGTTCAGACGACTTCAGATGTGCCAACTCGAAGCTCAGCGGCCCCGCTTCCTGGGTTTTCGCCTTCTTTTCCCCTACCTTAGGCAACATGAGAAGTAAACCAAGGAGTTGATAACGACGGCAGTCGCTTCACGAAAACATACCGCGAAGAGAAACGGACCCGCTCGCCCAGACACCAACTCACCTGGCGGCCGCGGCAACGCCGCAAATCTCAATTCCCCCCCCCCAGTCGCCATGGAGACCGCGCAGCCTCCGAGGGCCTGGGCGGGGAAAACGATCGAACCGGAAGGCCCCCGCACGTGTAGCCGTCCTCGTAGAGATGCCATAGATGGGTCACGGGAGGGAGCGGAGCCGGCCATTCCCTCCGCTCGACTGGGAACCATTTTACAAACCGTCCCGGGAGGGAAGGCGGCGGTTAAGAGAGGAATTTGTGCTCACAGTAAAAGAGCTCTAATATGCCTAATTTAATATGTTTAGACTCTGGAAGAAATAGATCTGCTAATGGAAACTGACAGAGGCACATTATTGTCTTGGGTGTGAATAAGAAAGGGATGTACAGTATAGCAGAATAGTGCTCTGCAAATATTGCAGGACAGGTGGCGCTGAGATTTGAGATAAACCTCCCTATGAAAGCTACAATGAATCGCCTCTTCACTTCTTTGGCTTACCTTGCGTTTCTCAACTTTATTTTTTGAAAGGAGGTACACGAAACTCGATTTCTGTCAGAAAGAGCGTCTTTCTTTCCTGATTCGGGTGTCTGTGCCCGGAATCACAGCCATGGTAAAAACCTGGTGATTGTCCATAGATAGCTGGCTCTCTTTGAACAAAACCTGAAGGGTATCTGCCTTAATGTCCACACGGACTCTTTATGGCTGCAATGTGATAATGTTTTTGTTGTTAAATTGTGTCCCACTCTTTGTTGACCCCATGGACCAGAGCACGCCAGGCCCTCCTGTCTTCCACTGCCTCCCGGAATCGGGTCAAATTCATGTTGGTAGCTTCGATGACACTGTCCAACCATCTCGTCCTCTGTCATCCCCTTCTCCTCTTGCCTTCACACTTTCCCAACATCAGGGTCTTTTCCAGGGAGTCTTCTTTCCTCAAGAGATGGCCAAAGTATTGGAGCCTCAGCTTCAGGATCGGTCCTTCCAGTGAGCACTCAGGGTTGATTTCCTTCAAAATGGATAGGTTTGTTCTCTTTGCAGTCCAGGGGACTCACAAGAGCCACCTCCAGCACCATAATTCAAAAGCATGAATTCTTTGGCGGTCTGCCTTCTTTATGGTCCAGCTCTTACTTCCATACATCACTACAGGGAAAATCATAGCTTTGACTATGCGGTCCTTTGTGATGTCTAAGATGCTGTCTAGGTTTGTGATCGCTTTCCTCCCAAGAAGCAGGTGTCTTTTAATTTCATAGCTGCTGTCACCATCTGCAGTGATCCTGGAGCCCAAGAAAGTAAAATCTGTCACTGCCTCCATGTCTTCTATTTGCCATAAGGTACTAAGAGAAAATAGCAGACAATATAATCAGTGCAGTCCTGTAACGTCTTCTCAGAACTGTAAGAATGAAGGGCAGGCACCAGATTCATCTGATGGTAGGGACAAAAAGGATGGGGAAAAACTTACACACTGCCATAATACATTTCTTGGTCCTGCTGCACAGCAAGATTAACTAATGTAGTTACCGCTCTGAAAAATGGGATTAAATGTTTTTCAGGCTTCTAAAAGTCAGCAAAATAGAAATCACAGCCAATTCCCTAGGTAGATTATTCTCTGGCTGGGGTAGCCATTACAGACATCGTCCTGCCCAAGCAAGAGGGTATAAAATAGCACCCAAAAGTCCCATTTGGTATAGTAATAATCTACAACAGAATTTCAGGTGTTTTAGGCAAACTGAATTCAATACACAATTGGGCTGCTGTTAAAAACAACAGTAGATCTTTTACAAGCAGATGGACGCAAATTTGCGTCTTTGGCGCAGAGGAGAAAAGTTATGGCGTGTGCATGAGAGCTCGGTGTACTGTTTTACAGCGAGAAGCAAAGCAAAGAGCTTGAAGCAAAAGAAGTGTTTTCAAATCGCCTAAACAGAGAGAGAAAATTAATCACCTTCGCCTTTCACTCCTTTCAAGGAGCGATAAACAGCGCCCGCCCTCGAAACTACATTTCCCAGAGATCCACCGTGTAGCAGGCCGGATTGGGCAGGGCTATGAACACTTCACGGGGGTCCCGAATTTAAGGCGATGAGTGGGAACGGCAGTGTTGAAGGGGAGGCAGAACTTTGGAACTACTTTTCCCGTCGTCCCCCGCGTCTCAGACGGAAGCGAGGTTGGGAAAGAGGGCTTGTATTTTCTCGGTTTTTGTGGCTGTGGTTACGTTTGCCTGGTAACTGTTGAGGTGCAAATGGAAATGGCCGTGATCCTTGCCCTTTGCAATGGAATTTGCAGTTATGTCTGCTTTGACGTTAATGAGCAATTCCCATTAAGGGATTATAGTATCTACAATTTTACCTGGTATTTTAAGCATTTTATTATGCAGCTGCCCTAGAAAGCTTCGCTTTATTATTGCCGAAGTCTTCCTTCCTCATATGCATTTGAACGATTTGCTGGCAAATACTTCTTGTAGGCGCTGCTGCTTCGATTCAGTCGATAGACTGTGCTTTACTTGTTAGACTCCATTATCTGACAGGTGTTGCAGTTAAGGTAAGTGTCTGTTGCCCCATTGGACTGATGCCACCCCAACTGTCTCTAAGAACAGGGCATTAAACCTCACAGGACTTGACAATATGGATTAAGTTCTCAAGTCAAGCCCCCACTGTACTGTGGTTCTCTGAGACTTAAAGTTGATTCTTGGCTCATTCGTTCCTATATATGAGCACCCTGAGAGAGGAACAGAAGTTTGTTCAGACTTCTCTGCCAAACTACTGTATAAGCTTTGTTCCAAGACTTGGAAGTTTACAATAAGAAGGGTGAATATAATTATATGCTGATGCTTCCATAACTGAGCAGTGGCAGGAAGATGATCTGGAGCCTAGAGCACCATCCCACCTGTTCAGTTATGGATGGCCCAAACATGTTATTGTGTGTACACTTAAAAAATAATTTGTCTAGCTTTGCTTTGGGCCATCCCTGCGCCCAGCTGCTGGGAGAGTCTCTGCTTCAAGATGTTTTGGACCAACAAACAGTGACTTGTTGGTTCCACACAATGTTTCTGTTTTTCTAGTCATATGCCGTGTTCACTAAATAGCATGGCAATGAGGTTCAAAGCTGAATAGCCAGATTCGGTCATACAGGCAGAATCTAGTCATCAGCAATGTCAGAAACTCTCTATTGAGAGTTGCTTATTGATTAGTGGCTTTAAAAAAAAGCTTTTGAGCTGGCCACAAAAGTAAAGTACCAATATTATATGGTAATATCACCATGTTCCCACCAAAATAAGACCGGGTCATATTAATTTTTGCTCCAAAAAACGAATTAGGGCTTATACTCAGGGGATGTTTTATTTTACAGTTATGTCATCTTCTTCCAGTTGCTGCACAGTGGTGGAGGGTGGGGCTTCACTTAACTGGGGCTTATTTTTGGGGTAGGGCTTATATTACGAGCATCCTGAAAAATCATACTAGGGCTTATTTTCAGGTTAGGTCTTATTTTCAGGGAAACAGGGGATATAGTAACAACACATTAGAACAGTGACCAGCATTTTCAAAGAGTTGTCAATATTTAATTCTCCCTGTCATCCATTTAAACCCTGCCTCTCACTTCTCATATTTGATAATACTGAGTAATACTGAAATTTATTACTAGTTCCTAATTTTTATATGTTCAGTCAATAATAATGCCTTCCATCTCAGTGTAAGCTGAGACACCCCCCCCCCAAATATCTTACATGTCTACAATCATGGGACTAATCTCCTTTAAAATACGCAGTAATTCTAATAACAACAAAATTCTCAATGATACATCCTAGGTGTGATGAACCCAAGTAATCATTATAAATAAGGAACTGGTGCCAGCCATTCTTCAGGCAGCTTTGGGCTGCTCCAAATCTAACCCACATATATCCAGAGATTGTCTTTTGTGGAACAGCACTGAGTCCTGTGCATCCCAAAGCTTTTTATATCCATATGTTAGCATTACAGTAGCTGCATTCCAGCTATAGGTAAAACAAGAAGGGGATAAGGGACTGATGCTGTACACTCTAGTTATTCCAAATCACACAGCCAGTAATGTTCTGTATACACAATGTAAAATACTGCAAAGCATGCCAATATAGCCAATATAATTACAAATATTAAGGAATAAGGAGCTTGGGCTTTGAATGTCAGTTAACTGTGTCATATCCCGAGTCAAGCAGCATACTCCAGCACACCATCCTGATCATATACTGTAGATATACGATGAACCAAAGTTTATTGTCAGAGACAGAGCCCTATGTTCCTAATGTCTGTGTGCCTGTGCCTCTTTTTTGCTTTTATTGGCACCGTATGGCACGCCAGGTTGACAGTGCTGTGTGGATAAAGAAAAGTTTTGGTTGGATAGCACTCAGTGCCATCAGAGGGCACTCTTCTGGATGCGTATGTGGTCTGAGATGGCCCAAAGCTGATTGTGAGGTGTACAGCAGCAGTTTCTTATTTGTAACTGACATTTGTGCTTATCACATATTAATGATGCATTGTGCAAAATTTCTGTTTTGATTGTAGAGGATTACTGTGTATCTTGAATTCAATGTTCTGATCACAGAGATGTATAATATTGGTTATCCTTAAGATTATGTGGAAGCCAGTGTGGTGTAGTGGACAGAATGTTGGACTAAGACTCTGGAGACTTGGGTTCAAGTCCCCGTTTGTCTTGGAAGCTAATGGGGGGGGGGGGAAGCACAGCACTTCTTCAGTATCACACATACCTTGAAAACCCTGTCAGAGTCACCATAAGTTGCAAGCTACCTGACAGTACATAAAACATCCTTAAGGTTAGGCTAAGGGGCATAACTACTTCAGGTCCTTATTCAGTTTGCTGAACTTTCAAAGTTCTGGGCAGATAAGAAGCTGGGAACTAAACTCGGTAGCTGAATTTTGTTCAAATATAACAATTGTGTTGAGACCTAGAAATGGTTTTCTATTGTGATTGTAGCTGCAACCCACATGGCTCTTTTATTTTAATGACTCACTTGGGAATGCTCCCTTGAATATTACAGACTTTTGGAGTAGCAATGAGAATATGAAATATCATGCATTTTTTATTTTAAACAGAGTACAATAGTTTTAAAATTTTGTTTATTTCCAGTTCTATACTGCCTTATTAATCTTGCCACTCTCTGGGCACTTCACAATATAAAATAAAATCATAAAAATACTATATAATAAATACAAGAAAATACCATATATCACACATGATTATAGTTTTTAGAGGCTGAGAAGCAATAAACCTTGTTGCTAGCTAAAAAGTACTTTAAAATAAAAACACACAAATTAAAATCCATTTGATTATCTCAGGGCAATATTTACAACTGGTAAAATGCAGCTTTATATAATTTGGTTTTAATTAGCTTTCCAAAAACAGAGGGAGGATGGTGCCTGGCAAACCTCTGTAGCAGACTTGTTCCAGAGGGAAGGGACCACAAATGAAAAAGTTCTGTGCCTCATGGTAGCTTTTAGGTCTCCTTAGGTGTTAACAATTCTTAACATTAAAGACTGTGAAGAGTGGGTGGGAGATGTAGCTGTTTTGTGCAGGAGATGTTCTACCAGACCTAAATAGTTTTAAAGCTGAACTAGTATTTGTGTCTGGAGTTTGAAATTCAATAGATCAACTTTTTCTGAACATAGATGAATTTTTAAGGAACCCATTTTGTTTTTTTCCCAGTTCTAGTTTCCTTTCCTTCCTCTGGAAATAAGTCGGTGTGGGACTAAAAAAAGTGAAAAAAAGTTTGAAAAAGAAAAAGAAAAATGTAGTGGCACCTTAAAGACTAACTTTTATATTTTTTAATGTGAGCTGATTCAACATGGCAGATATTGATAAATAGCATCAAAATATAGGTATCAAATACAGAGATCATGGTTGGTTTGTGCAGAAGTCAGTGGGTGTATAACATTGTGGTTTTAGCATCTTTGATATGCAGGTCTTTCATAGAAGCTTCTGCTGTAATGTCTTCTGCTAAACATTCAACATATGATTGAGGGAGAACAGCTGCCTTCATAAAATATGATTCTCTCTTTCTCTCTCTTGAGTTGGCCTGTGGAGAGAGATGTTTCAGTCACTTTCACAAACTATTAATACACACACTCTTTTGATCTACTCAGTTCTGCTTTGAAAGCAGAAGTTGAAGCTATCTCATGACTGCTGTCAGCCTGCAGGAAGCCATGGTTGCAGGTGCAACATCTGTGTAGGACTATTGTTCGGGTGGGAAGTTTTTGGTTCACATCCTGGCTGTGGAGGCAGCATGTGAAAAAGTATAAAGACTCTGAAGTGATTTGTTCCTCTTGCTTGGATGGTTTGGCAACAGTGACTTTTCTTTTTTGTTGGAATACAATTAAGTTTCATAAGATCAGGCTGGATCCAATAACAGCTACTGTAGTCTTAACTCTTCTTCGAGTGCTGGAGTGACTTGCATAAAGGGTGCCTCAGCTTACAGAAGAAACATGAAAATCAGAATGAATGACTCGGGCGGGCTGACTGCAGTTTGATCTGATCAACAGAGGTATCTTGCCTATTCATTTAATTAATTAAATCTTGGTTCTAGTTCTTGACTAACACTCAGTGGGGCTCATGCATGTACTTCTAAATATTTTTCAGTATCATGGATATTAGGTAGAGATGACTGGTGAATGATCACTTGGCATTTTGGTGCAGCTTAGCCTTGACAAACATGGACTCAATACTAATTGCAGGCTATTTGTAATTATTGAACTTGCCTTTTGAACTGTACTTGGAACAGTTGCTTTCCAAACAACAATTCCAAGAATTCCCCAGCTTGCTTGATTATATGATGCTGGTTTGATTATTCTGTGGGCCAGAATCCAAAAAAAGTAACTTGTCCAGTCCTCTATTTTGAGAGTACCATGTCCACTTAAAATGTGATCTGCTTCAAAGCAGTCTAGGGAGTTTTCTTCCACCAGTGATGTTGACTGTGTTCAACATAACTTAGTACTGCACTAAATAAATAACTTCCTGTGATCCAGCCATTCAGGCTCCTCCCCTTTTTGGTTGCACAAGCAATAAATTGAAGCACGGCTTCTTCCAGAAGACTGAAGGTAAAGCAGTTTGGTGCAAGAAAGCAGAACTGTGCAAGAAGGACAGAAATCAAGGAAGAATAGGAAGTAACTGATATAATCCAGCACCCGGGTAGCAACTTCTGTCATTTTTACAGTTGGCTGGTGTCTTGTCTGTCTTCTCAGGAGTGCTACCTACTAGCAGTGAAATGCCTACTGTTTCGTTCCTGCCATTTTCAATCGTGCTTGGAGTTTTGGGGATCTTGTGTGTGGGGTTCACAGTGTACTGGAGCCACCACTGGCTTGGTGGCTTTGCCTGGGATGGATCTTCTCACATGTTTAACTGGCACCCAGTGCTCATGGTGACAGGCATGCTGGTCTTGTATGGCATTGGTAAGTGGATAGAGCATCCAGTTCCTTTCTGATTTTTTCCCCAAATTCCCAGTATTAGACTCTAGGAAGGAGTCATTTACTGGCTGGGTAGGTATAGGGCAGGGATCCCTGAGATATCTTGATTCTGACTTTTTCCTTTCTTGCAGCGGCACTAGTTTATCGTGTACCCCTCTCCTGGGAGGGCTCCAAGCTCCCATGGAAGCTGCTGCACGCAGCACTGGCCTTCACAGCATTTATCTTAGTTGTCCTGGGACTGGTTGCTGTCTTTGGGTTTCACAACAAACAGGGAATTCCCAATATGTACTCCCTACACAGCTGGCTAGGACTATCTGCTGTGCTACTCTTCTCCTGCCAGGTAGGTTTAAAAAACCCACACCCAGATAACTTATTTGTTGAATAACTAATTTTAAATGAGAACTCATTTAAAACAATTATTGTATTATTTTTCAAATGTTTGTCCCATCTGTTTTCCAGAAAGGGGACAAGCTAAAACAAATGCAAATTACATAATAAGCACAACAGCATTTAACCATAAAGGCTAAAGAAAGGTAGCTGCTTAATTGGAAAGGCTCCAGCACTTAAGTGTTACTGTTTCAGATAACTAGCAGAATCTCCCACCATCAGACTGGCAGATTCTGAGCCTCTCTCCCCCCAACTTTTTTTTTGGTAAGCTCACTTTACTTGGGTGTGATCTAGAGCTCAGCTTTATTTCCAGCAGCCACTTCTGAGCTTTTTCCTAAGCAAAGCAGGACGGTGATGATGTATCTTATTTGTCTCCAGCATCTGACGACTGAAATATGCTCCCACACTTTTTCTGAACATGGAAATAACTTTCATCCTCCTAGGAAAGTGACTACCTGCAGTCTATGTTTGAATTTATTTTAAGATTTATGTAAGCCAATTATTCCAGTGAATTACTGCAGTGTCTTGTAGCACTGAGTTATTCTTATCCATATATGGCATCAGCAGAGATATATCTGTCTTAAAGATGCCAACCTGTGGTTTTTTTCTTCCTGGAAAGTGCATTACATTTGTTCTAGCTCCCCATCTCTCAAATATTGTTTCTTTGTGGCTGTGGAAATCCTAGCTATGGGATTCTGCAACTCCAGAACCAGAAAAACCTGTATTTAACTCCTCTGTCCCTCCATTTCACAGCCAGGTTTACCTCATGAACATGCACACGTTAAAATTTGTTCCAAATGTTTTTTATTTTTAAAACACTGCAATGCTGTTCTGTACCAATGACAGTTCAATGCAATAGAAGGTTCTACAGCATTAACATATTGATAATTTCCTGTTTTTCAAAGTGTTGTTTGCTTTGAGACCACCTACTGTAAATGAGTTTTTAAATGTGAGAAATATTTCTACAAATCTGGTTACCACATTATTTGCTTTGCTCTCCAGAATGATTGTGTATCAAGAAAACCTTCATCCCTATGTAAATGCCATGCTCTGAATATTTCCAATTGTTGTATCTCCTATTCAGTGGCTAATGGGATTTTTGTCTTTCCTGCTGCCTTGGGCCCCCATTCGGTTCAAAGTCCTTTACAAGCCCATCCATGTCTTCTTTGGCTCAGCCATCCTCGTTTTGGTTGTGGCAGCTTCCATCTCTGGCATCAATGAAAAGCTCTACTTCCGACTGTGAGTAGTAGAAATTGCAGGATGTATGTGTACCTGATCCGGGGAGCAAGTATTTCATGTTAAACTGCTGCTGATCATTTTAATTGGTTGGAGTTTGTGATTCAGGTGTAACAATTAATGGATGAGGTAATGAAACACTGGAGGAAAAACTTAAGTGGTCTACCAGTTGCAGTCCAGAAAGGGCAGATAAAATAAATGAAAATTGCTTAGATTGGATAGGTATCAGATTTGGACAGTAGCAACAGATCTTATAAATATAGAAGGGAAATAAGCTCATGGTAATTGAAAGTCCAAAGAGGTAGCCAAAAGAATGCCCATGGAAATGACTTCCTTTTCACGGCAAGTGAATTTTTGCAGAGCTGCAGTCTTGAACTGCATGCCGTCTTTGAGCTTCTTAACCCCAAGTGGAGCAGATAATATAGAAACTGGAATGTAGAGATCCACAGTATGTTGGTGGGAACCCAACACATTTGAGTCACCATGCTGAAACCTAGTCAGCTGTAGTGATCATCAGAATATTAGACTGATTCAGGTTCAATTCTTCACTGAGCCATGAAAAACACACTAGGTGACCATAGATCACTTTCTATCAGCTTCATCATTGTTAGAATAAAATGGTGAGAAAGAGAGCTATGTACACCATTGGGTCACTGGAAAGAAAGTGGGGAAATGGTGAGAAAGAGAGCTATGTACACCACTAGGTCACTGGAAAGAAAGTGGGGTATACATATACATGTGTCAAGCCACAAGTCTAAACAGAGTATTTTAGATGGCTAACAGGCTGGCAGATGAAATCTTATGATTTGCTGGTACTATTCATGTGTTTCTCATCAAACCTGCTCTTTGTCATCCTAGAACAAAAACACCAACCCCATACTCCATGCTTCCTGCAGAGGCTTGGTTTGCCAACGTACTTGGGATGCTGATCCTAATTTTCTCACTGTTGGTGTTGTGGGCTCTTGCACGGCCTTCATGGAAACGTCCAGAGGTGAATACAGAAGACCTCCAAGAGGTGAGGAATCTTGTAGGCTTATAGTTCACGTCTGGACAATTTGAATGGAAATAGTTTCATATGAGGAAATGACTGTGTGTGTTAAAGAGAGAGTTTCTTCATTGTAAAAGTGTTCAAAGATTGTTTAAGTCTCATTGTACAACTAAATGGTCTTAAGCTCAGGGTACAACTAAATGGTCTGAGCAATAGATGCAGGAATGGGAACACTGGAGAGTCTTCTGGAGATGAAGGAAGACTGAAGGTGTACCAAATAAACGTGCATCAAGTTTGTATGATAGTAAGATTCGAGACCTCAGTTGGTCCTGTGGAATTACTGTCCAAGCGAGTAGTTTCCTTATAAGCTATACAATGTGAGCATGTTGTATGAAAACCCCACAAGGCTGTTTGAAGAAAAGGTAAATTTTGCAACCTGTCAGTTGTTCCCAAGCTTGGGTCCCCAGATGCTCATGAACTAAAACTTCCAGAAGCCTTCACCCCTACCTGTGCTCGACAGTATTTCTGGGAGTTGTAGTCCAAGAACATTTGGAGACCCAAGGTTGAGAACAACTGAGTCCTACATTATGAAAACTGAGCCAATCCTAGTATACTTAGATTTTGTGTTAACTTCATTTGGTTTTGCTAATTGTGGAAATGAGGCCCTGCAAGCTGTGCCTGCCAACCCCTCCTGCTAATCTTAAATCAGACATCCTTTTACTTTCTGAGATTTCAACATAAATTGGTTTACCTTGCTTTCAAATGTGAAAGATGGAGCCCAATGACTGTTTGCATTAAGGTCATTAAAAGAGACTGAAGTGAAATGGGAAATACCAGAATTGTATATAGTAACAAGTGGAGTGGGCTAATTTTTAAGTATCCTGCCATCTTTGAGTGTTAAAGAGGAAGTGAATGGGACAATACTTGGAAATGTCACTTTCTTGAATTATAACTTTCAAAAGCCTCTTGCCAGCACGGCCAATGACCATGCTGGCAAGGATATTCTGTGAGTTGTAGTGACACTGTCTGGGGGACTCTGGGATTTATGATCCAGAAAAGCAGCTTTTCCAGAACCTCTGAGGGTGGAGAAATTATGGGTTTTCTCATGGCATACAAAAGTAACTACAGGGGCACAGACAGCCAAGCCATGCCACTTTCAGAATTCACAACTGTAGTTAGTTAATTCAGACAGAAGCTTGAGTCACACCATATTTGAGAAACTGAAACCAGAGAGCCACAGATCACGTATTGGAAGACTGAAATGCTCCCAGTCACCTTCTGTAGTATACACAGTCTTCATTCCTATAAACAGATATCTAACAAAGGCAGAACTGAACACTGGGGTGAAGTTATGTTATGAGTGTGAGACTTGTAGTAGAATACGGAATTTGGGCCTGACAAAAGGAAAAGACTCTATCAGATTTCTTGTTTTGAGGAACAAAGAGGATTTCAGTTCAAGAGCAGAAGTAGGAAGTATATGGTTTTCCATATACAGTGGTGCCTCACAAGACAAATGCCTCGCAGGACAAAAAACTCACAAGACGAATGGTTTTGGCAACAGAGTTGATGACTCGCAAGACGAATGTTCCTATGGCTGTGCTTCGCAAGACGAATGTTTTCCATTTTTTGTTCCTGCCTCATGTTTGCTGATTTTTAAATGTTTTTCTATGATGTTTAAAAAGTTAGTTTTTTAATTGAAAATTTTAAAAACATCTGCACAATATGTATGGATTTAAAGAGCACTTAATAAACCCTTTGTAAACCAAATTTGACTTTGTTCTGACTTTTTTGCCCGTAGGAACACATTAATTAGATTTCAATGCATTCCTATGGGAAAATACGTTTTGCAAGATGAATTTTTCGCAAGACAACATTAACCGCAGAACTAATTAAATTCGTCTTGCGAGGCACCATTGTATTCTTAGACTTCCATCTGCCCCCTTAGGGATAACATCTAGAGTGCCATGGATTTCCCCCAATCTCTATTCTAGATGTTTGATCTGAACTTCCTCTGCAAAATGACAAGGGTGACCATCCTATGCCATATAGAAATGTTTAGAAGTTCACAAAAGTTTAAAATCTCTTGCCAACAACTCCTGGTCTGCCTCCTCTACAGCCCTTGCTTCAGGCACCCAAATGAAATGTTACAAAGCAGCTGTGGGGAGCTACGAAGAGGTGACATAGTTGCCAGTTCTGTGCTGAGAACTGCAACCCAGCTTGCTGGTATCTTCAGTATGGAAGTTTGCATCACAAATCAGTGCACTAGCAGAAGCTAAACTTCCTGGTCTTGCTACTGTGGGAAACTGAACATCCGGCCATCTCCATATAGCCTATTGCCTTATTTGTTAATTGGTTCCCAAATGTTTGTATACTTTCATGGAACCTCAATTATCTGTTAAATAAATGATTCCTTACAACTCTATTCGTGTTAAGGTTTGTGGGTGTTACCACACTAGGCATTTAGTGGTGAAGTTCGCATTTCCTCTCTCACTTTTTACGGGATGTCCATATGATGCTTGATTCATTCTTTTCCCAAATGTCTCCCATCGTTCATTTGTCTTTTTCAAGACTAGAAAATTTGATATTTTTAAAGAATGGGAAAGTAATATCTGCAGTTGTACATGGCCTTAGCATTTTTTTAAAAAATTACCTTTTTACCAGTGCAATACTTTTGTGACCCTAATTTTGTCATAAAATATTATAAAATATTTCTGTAATGGCACTTGAAACATTGTAGATCTTCTCCATTGATCTGTATGGGGGAAAGAAAAGTTGACCACTGGTGAAGGATTGAGCATCACTTTGGCAACAGTTAGAACTTGGACGCAACACATTATTGCATTAATGCACTTCATGCAAGAATGTTAGTCATGTTAAACAGGAGAATGCAAGTAGTCTTTAAAAAATAATGATGCAAAAATGGTATGTTAACATTGGAAATGTTATTCTAGAGTGAACTTTTTGGGGCTTGTGTGCCCAAACTGGGAAAACAACAACAAAGCAGGCAGCGTGCTGCGGTGGCAGAACCAGAAGTGGCAGCAGAAGGGGGAATCCTGGCACGGAGGTGCCTCGAGACCCCACTCTGGATCCGCTGCCAGCATCAACTGCTTCAGATCCGCCTGCCAAAGCACCAGCACTGCGGCTGCACCTGCCTTCTCAGGTTTGGCTGCATGGGGGGGNGCAATCTGGCGACTTATGGCTCGCATGCCGGTAGAAAGGGCTCCGTGTGCCAGCGGTGGAACATGTGCCACTGATTTGCCATCGCTGCTCTAGAGATATTGGTTGCTGTACCTCTACCATTGCACCACCAGATCTGGGCAGTTAATGCGGACATATAAAAATAAACAGAAAATGCTTGCTTTAGTGTGGGTTTTCTCATTATTCCAGAATTTTCAGCAGCATCCTGAAAAAACAAGCCATCAAAGCAAGCATTTTTTTGCATCGTTTGATTGCCTTTAGTAGTTTGTTCCTGAAATTTAGAGGCATCCAGGTTTGATAGCAAGTTTCTGTAGAGAACTCAAAATAGTGCGTAGACTGAATGTGGCCTGCAGGCTATATCACCCACATCTGATTTAGAGAACAAGCTTTTTATGGACTAACCATTGAGCACACTTCCCTGCACATTTCATTTTACAGCCATTGAGATTTATCTCCTTTTATATACTATCTGCAGATTAATCTCACACTTGTGTGTCTGGGCTTTTCTTTCCAGAGAGGCATAGCAGAAATACGTACGTATGTACGTGCGTGTGTGTTTAGGAAGAAATCTTTCCATTCAGTTGGACATACTTCCATGAAAGTGTTCAGAAGACTGCAACTCTTAGTATAATTTCAACACCAAACTAACAGAGTTCCTCTCTGGGGATGTAGGGAAAACATTTCATTTACTAGGAATGCTATGCAATATGGGATACATCCGTGTGTGGATTTCTAACTGGTATGCAAGAAAATATCTGATATCTGAATTACTGTATTTTAGAGTGGTGTTTATCACAGTGCCTCCTATTATTCTATATCACAGTAACTGAGTAGCTAATCTGCAACAAGCAATGAGAGAAACACTTAACACAATGATAGATAATAACAAGAACATGGAAGTTAGTGTTTAGGGCTACAGTTCACAGAACCTCTAGCCAGTATGGCCACTTAGCCCCACCTCACCATTTGTCATGGTGACTGGGGGATTCTGAGAGTTGTAGTCCAAAAAAGTAATGTTCCCAAGCTCTGGTCATAAGACTGATGTTCTATTTCATGTAGACATGTGTACAAATCTTGTGATCTTTGGTTTTATGCACATTTATTTCATCTGGTGACCCACTTTTCATGCTTTTGTATTATTATTCTGCTGATTCATCCTCCCAGCCATCGTTCTTGTAACTTCAAATGATCACATTGGTGGCAGTGTTTGAGAAGATACTCATGAAAGACTGGCACTCTTTTCTATGGTTAACCACATTAAGATTTCCATACTGAAATAAACATTGTGAGCAGATCTTAATCTTGGCATGAAGTTGAATTTGAGGCTGAGTAATATGTACTGACCCCTTCACGGATTGCTGCCTTGTCGTGGCGAAGGGGCTTGAGTAATTTCGAGAAGCTATGAGCTATGCCGTGCAGGGACACCCAAGACAGATAGGTCATAGTGGAGAATTCCAACTAAATACGATCCACCCGGAGGACGAACTGGCAAGCCATGCCAGTATCTTTGCCAAGAAAACTCCATGGACAGAAACAAAAGGCTAAAAGATATGATGCTGGAAGATGAGCCCCTCAGATCAGAAGGTGTCCAACATGCTACTGAGGAAGAGTGGAAGACAAGTAGGAGTAGCTCCAGAGCTAATGAAGTGTTTGGGCCAAAGCCAGAAGGACGCTCAGTTGCGGACGCGCCTGGAAGTGAAAGGAAATTCCGATGCTGCAAAGAAAAATACTGCATAGGAACCTGGAATGTAAGATCTATGAACCTTGGGAAGCTGGAGGTGGCCAAAGAGGAGATGGCAAGATTAAACATTGACATCCTGGGTGTCAGTGAACTAAAATGGAGGGGAATGGGCGAATTAAATTCAGACAATTATAATATCTATTATTGTGGGCAAGAATCCCGTAGAAGAAATGGAGTGGCCCTCATAGGCAACAAAAGAGTGGGAAAAGATGTACTGGGATACAATCTCAAAAATTATTTCAATACAAATCCAAGGCAGACCTTTCAACATCACAGTAATCCAAGTTTATGCACCAACCACTGATGCTGAAGAGGCTGAAACTGACCAATTCTGTGAAGACAACACCTTCTAGAACTGACACCGAACAAAGATGTTCTTCTCATTATAGGGGACTGGAATGCTAAAGTAGGGAGTCAAGAGATAAAAGGAACAACAGGTAAGTTTGGCCTTGGAGATCAAAATGAAGCAGGGCAAAGGCTAATACAGTGGGGTCTTGACTTAAGAACAGCTCAAGTTAAGAACATTTTGACTTAAGAACCACTCTCATAGGAAAATATTGACTTGACTTAAGTACTTAGATTTGAGTTAAGAACTAAAAAAAACCACGTGGGAGGCAGGGAAAGTGCAAAATTTGAACTTTCAGTTAACTGTTGGCCAGTGAAAAGGGTGCCTGTCTGCTTCCTCACTCCTCCCAGCGTTTAGAGAGTGGATTGGGAGACCATCTTCAGACTGCCTGGTACTGTACTGCCTGGACTGTATTTTCCCTGCCTTCCCTGAACCTTTCTTGACCTAAGAAAAAAAGAAACAAAATATCCCCCTCTAGTGGTCGAAGGCGGAATACCAGCTTCCCATTAGTTTCTATGGACGGAAAAAAGCAGATA